ACTTGAACCCAAAGCTTGGGGGTGAGATTTTAATGAGTGAATGCACATTGTTTCTCAAAAATCAGTTCACTCCATCAGTATTGTCCTGACACCTGGGGCCACCAGCAGCAAGGGGTGCAAAGGGGCTCGTGTCCTGTGCCCAGAGGGGCTGGAGTGCAGTAGGGAGGAGGCCCCAGGGCCACACAGCAAAGGGAAGAGGAGGTTCCCTTTGAGATGGTGTTACATTAAATTTGGAAAAAGACTGGCATGGCTAGTTTTCCAGCAGTAACTGATGGCTGAAGAGGGGAAGGTAATACTGCCAGCACCTGAATAGAGTCTTCTAACAGGGTAGCAGAGAAACCAAACAGCTGAAACACCGGTGAGACCCACCTCTGTCCCAGGTGTAAAATCATGTTTGTGGCAGCCTGTCATGAAGCCTGTAGAATAGAAATCAGCCATAGCAGATGGCTTAATTGTCTGTGAGGGCAATACTATTCCATAGGAGGCTCCTGGTACTGTTTCTCTAAACTCAAGTCTTCCAGTCATTTGTAGATGTCAGCAAAAAAAAAAAATCCTAGTCGGGTTTGTAAAACTGCCCAACAGATCCAACCTCACGTGCTTAAGCCTGGATGAGCCAGATAAACTGGATGAAAAAGACAAACAAAGAAACAACAAAATCCTTCAGTTATGGGGAAGAAGAAAAACACTGCAAGTTTCTGCACAAGGATACCATCCTGTGGCATCCAGAAAGCTGATGTCTCGATCCAAATGGCCTCATCTCGGTTTCTTGGTGTACAGAACACAAGAGAGCACAAGTGCTCAAACCTCTGAACGTTTTACTTGGATAAAAGCAACCACACTAATAGAGAGCTGGTCTGGAAACAACATGGAGGAGATGAAAAAGAACCACATCATAAATTAAAGCAAGGAAAAACAGTGGAAGCCGCCTGGGAAAGGGCTGAGGACCTCATAGGTTATCCTATACAGCCCATCAACAGCAACCTAGTTAGAAAAACAGCTGAAAGACACAGAATTATCCCAGGAAAAAGATGAGGAAATGGAAGTCTTTTGAGAGAGAGACACAGAAACTGAGGAAATTATCCTCTGGGCTGGACAGAGAGACAAGTAAGTGGCTGGGGACACAGCCTTCCCATGGGACCCAGGCAAGTCGTTTAGTGTCTACTTTCCTCTGCCCCTGAGGTGATTAAAAAAAAAATCTCCCCATCAAACAAACAGTGCCAGAGCAACCTGTGGAAGTTCTTCTTTGTACAGCCATCAGCCCTCACTCCCAAAAGAGCCCTGTGCTTCCCTCCACAGCAGCCCACAGAACACTTGACGACTTGGTGGCCTTGGACTCACTGGCATGGGCTGGGCGCTGGTGGGACCAGCTGGTTGTGAGCTGAGGGGAGGTACAGATGATTCGTGTTCAACAGGTGAGAAAATGCCAGGATCCAGACATGGCACTCTGCACTCCCATCAGGATCTCAGCTAAAACCATACCTGACTCTGTCTGTTAAATTGAACCAGGTTACACAACTACTCAGAGATGAGCAATCAGAAAATGTACCAGCAGCCAGGCTCGCTTTCCAATATATTTACTTACCCTGGGAATTTGGGAGTGGAGGAGTTCATCCCACACCGGCTCACACTGCATTCCTGAGGCACTGGACCAGTGGTTGCAGAAGCATCATGTCTTCTCCCACCATCAGGTCGCTCAAATCCTGCTGCACGGGAAGCAGCTCATGCATTAGGAGGTCTTGGGATTTATTTCCTGGAAGCTGACAAAATTGTTCCTTTAACGAAACAAGCTGCATTTTTTGCTTCACAAATTGGTGCCTTTTCTTGCACATTGAGAGGGTGTTCTCACTGAGGTACCAATGTTCATCCCAGTGCCCCAGTCAGCAAAACAGCCGAGCCGAGGGGGGCTTGGAACTGGCTCAGGCAAATCTCCAGGTCGTGTGCAGGGGGAACAGGATGGGCTAAGGCAGGGGAGGAACAGCGCCAGCAGGGGAGCCCCCTGGCATAGTGACAGCTCCACCAGCAAAGCCTTGGTGGGGCAGAAGCAGGCAGTGGCTCCTTGACACCTGTCTGCCCATCCCATTCATCTCCTCATGTTGGGACAAATGGGTGGACCAAATCACCTCTCTCATACCCAGGCTGTACGCACTCAGCCCTGACAAACAGGGCCGTGACAAACTATAGTGAAAACCCCAGTTTAGGCAAATTCCCATCTGTTTAGCTAAGATAATTTTAGTTTACTACTTTTTCTTTTTTTTCTTTTTTTTTTTTTTTTTTTTTGGCAATTGCGTGTGCACAATTAACTGCAATCTTGGTTTTGAAAAAAAAATACAGCACCCTAATTAGCATATTAAGCCTCCTCATTTCCCAGTACTGTATAATGTTGTGAAAGCTAATCTATAATGTATTGGATGTTATGCAAATTCTTGGTGCTCCATATGGGGTTTGTAAAGGCATGCAAATTAAAAATAGTGTTTGGAATAGGACTGGGGGGAGGGGAAAATTTGCACAATAAAATATGCAGGTAGGAGGAAAGGTGTTTATAACCTTCTTCCTATTGTTTGTGTATTCTCAGCTGTACAATGCTTTTCAAAGCAGAGAGATGTGTTGCATAAAATCTCTCCAAATTGGATGGTTTTTAAATGAAATTTAAAATGAGAGCACTGTTCTCTAAACAATAATTCATCCCACTCTCTGCTGGTGCTTGTAAGTGGTAGGTAAAGGCACTCAGCTTTCACTGACTGGCATTTCAGTCATGCACGGCTGCTCATAGTGTGTTTGCCTGGGTGCCACTGGGGGTCTCAACACAGCCACTGCTGTCCAGGAGAGTCCACAGTGGTGGCCTCGCTAGGACCTGGCTAGTGGCCATCAGTGTAACCCAGCGGGGCAGGTGCATTACTTGCAGCACCCAGGGTGTTTGCAGTGTGCAGAGCGTGCTTTGATCCTGTTAATGTTTTATGGCCCTACCTACAGGAGGATGTAAGTGTAGCTGCAGCACAGCTGGCTTTTTAGGATGCCACTGGCTCCTGGTGGAGGGGCTCTGTGCCTGCTGCCAGCGCCGAGCCAGCAAACATGGTCAGTCTCCTGCGGCTTGTCACCGCCAGCCGTCGGCTGTGTCCGCCTGAGTGCGTACAGCCAGCCCTGATTGATACTTAATTAGATTACAGCTGCCGCTTAAAAATAGCCATTTTATAAAAATAAAATCTTGGCTGGTGTCAGACGGAGCCCTGTGCAGACCAGAAGTGGTGCTGCCTCTCCCTGGGCATCCAGGAAGCTCTGCAGGCAGTGCTGGCATTGCTGCCACTGGGATCAGGGACTGGTGGTTCTCCTCACCTCGATGGCTTTTCCTTGCCCTTGCCTTCCTGGTGGCCTTGGTGACACCACACTGGGTCATGTCAGTGGGAGTGGGAAGTTCAGCTCAGGAACTCTTGAACATGCTCATTTTTATCTGGTGCTGCACAAGCTGCCTGGGCTCAGCTGAGCACAGCCTATCCCACCTCCATGGGCTGCTGCCCTCCTCCCTCAGGGCACGTAGCACCTCCGAGGGCAGCGCTGTCCGGCATCAGCCACCGGCAATCTCACAGCCATCTCAGAGGCAGCTCCTTCGCAGATGAGGGAAGGGGGCTTTTCTTTACCAGCTACTTCTTCCAGCATCTTGCCCTGCCCCAGACATGGCAGGGCTCGACCCTCCTGGTCTGGGGACCTCTCCCTAAATTCCATTGTGCAGTTAAGCTTGTATTTCAGGTGTTTTGTATAGGTTGTGCTACTCTTTCTCCTGAGTGTCTTCCTCTCAGCAGAGTCTCAGGCCCTTTGGCCAAGGGTGGGAGAAAGACAGGGAGCAGCAAGATCCAGACACGAGGCTGGCCCTGGGGCAGACATGGGCTCAGCTCCTGCATCTCCTCCACTGACAACAGGCCTGGATGGACCCAGAGCGGGCCGTGCGTGTGTCTGCCTGGTGTTATCCCATGCAAAGTGGCACAGCATGGCTGAGGATAAGGGCCCAGCCCTTTCTGCCCCACCAACTGCCCTGCACAGCCATGGAGCAGGAATCAGAGCTTTTCAAGCAGGAGCAGGAACTGAGGATGTCCCTTATGCAGGGAGCCTGTCTAATCGAAGCAGGCAGGAAAAAAACCCAAGACATCACACAAGGAGGAAGTGGAAATGACAAAACCCGACTGAGAGCTCCTCGGGTGCTGCTTTCCCACAGGAAAGAGGCAGATGAGCTCAGGTACCCTTGGGCTGTGGGCTCTTGGCAGCACCAGTCAGCAGCTCCTTTTGTCCTGCCAGCATTTCCCACCCTGGGCACTTTCAGCAAGCGTTTCGGTATTCACTCATTTGCTTCACAGAGGTCTGCATTTGCTTATTTTCTGCTGCAGTTCCCTGGGCTGGGGGAGTTCAGGATGCAGCAGCTCCGGGGAGTGCAGCCAAGCACCGTGCCTCCGAGCACAGCTCCTGCAGCAGCAACCACAGGAGCTGGAGAAGCCACCGCTGGCAGGGAAGCAGCCGAGAGCACTGGCAAAGCCTCCCTCCAGGAATGCACCCTGGGGGTTTTTGCTCTGCAGATGTGCACACACACACACACAACTGTGGGCTGTGGGGGACCGGGAGCCACGAGCGCTGTTTGACTGTGAGAAGCCACAGGGGCTGGATTTGGGGCTTCTGTCTGTTAGTGCAATACGAGGGTCCTGCTAGATCAAACCCACCCGAATCCATAAAGCTACTGCAGGTGTCTGTGGGGCACCAAACTGGGAAATTGGCCTTGCTTTGTTTCTACTGCCTTCATTTAACAGTGAGTGCCGATTACTCAAAGCGATATGGGCAGGACCTGGTAATGTAGAGATGCTCTAGAGTTAACTTAAGGGGATGATCCAGTTGCCTGCAGTGTAAATACTTTGTGGCCAGGAACCCTGCTTTATCGCTTTGTATAGTATTAAAGTAGTTTAAAGATTGAATAACATAAAATAACATAATATAATGTTATTTATGTTATTTCCCACGTGAAGAACTCCTGTAAACCTTGCAGTATTGAAACTCAGTGAACAAGGCATCTTAGACAAGCTGAAAAACAAATGGTGGTACGATAAGGGTGAATGTGGAGCCAAGGACTCCGGAAGTAAGGTCAGTCGCTGAAGGTCTTTTTGTACTGATTAGCAATCACATTTTGACCCACTGTTTGTTTATACCAAGAATGACTTTCAGAAGTTGCTATTTACATTTTGAAGGTTGAAAGAAAAAGACTAGAAAAAATAATTTAAGTCTCAGAACATGACAGCATTTTTCTTATATGCAGTAGCAGACTGTAGTTGTAAGTATGTTTTACTGTGTGAGTATTTTGCTAGAAAAACATGCAGAGAGAAGCCCCCAAAGTCTCCCAAGGTGGTGTTTTCAATTAAATGCACAAATTTTAGCACAGTCATTTTGTATTATTCAGGCCAGCATCTTTTCTTATTTTTAGTTTTATTGAAAAAACACATTTTTGTTTCAAAATTATGACTTAGCTTCTCTACATGTCAGTTTGGGAGACAGTCACATGCTTGCTAAGGATGTAAATTTTCAGGACAGACCATTGATAAGGAAAAAACTCCTCTCCCACCTTGTTTCCCAATTCAGTCTGAAATTGGTTGGATTTTTTTAAAAAAAATCTAGAAGTCCCAATGGTGAGTCATTACCTAAATGTTGTATATTCCTTTTTATATTGCTTTGAACCATTTTGCTGCTGTACTACCCTGTTGCCCACCAGCTGTGCTGTGGGGCTGGCCAGCCTCATGTGGAACCACTGTAGTCTCCAGGGGAGATCACGCTCCTGAGGTGGATCACCCCTTAAGTTGCAGGAAATATTTATTTACACCATTCAGTTAAAAGAAAACACAGAGGGTTTTTTTTTCTTAATGCTTATAGACCCATTGGGGAGAAAAACCCTGTAAAAGTGCTGGGCTTGTTGGAGTGAAGGACATTTTCAAAGGCACTAAGAGGAGGAGAAATCCAGCTCCAGCTGAAATCGGTCGCAGTTGAGTGCCTAACTCCCCTGGTGCCTTTGGAAGTGCTCTCTGTAATCATTCAAACAGAAAACTGTAATTTCAAAGCACCCTCTCAGTGTCGGAGGACAATTTCAAGTTCCAGCGAAGCCAGTAATAAAATTTCATTGATTTCAGTTGGACTGAAAGTTGCTTAGGGCACAACCCTGTAGCTGTTGTATGAGATAAATTTGGGATCATGGGATATGTGAACACACAGCAGCTGCAGAAGGGAAGTGCAATTGGAAAGAGGTATAAATGAGTAAGATCTTTAGTTTACATGGCAGGCTGTTTGTTACAACTGCATGTATCCAAATTGCTCGTGAAATGCACAGACACTTGCAAGGTAGACCCTATTTTATTCCGACTATATGCGAATTTTTCCCTCCTTGGAGAGACTTGTTAACCAAGCTCTGTCAGCAAGTGTCTTCTCTGGGCACAACCAGGTTGCTCTGGCACGTGCCTGTCCATCCCAGAGTGGTGTGGTGTGGTGTGCCAGCCCAGCCAGGGCCGTGCCAGCCGCCCTTCCTGCCCACAGCCAACCCGCCTGCCCATGCAGCAGCAAAATGGTTGCAGCTCTATTTATTCTGATTACAGAATCCTGTTCTTAGAAATGCAAGCTTCTCCCCCATCTGACATGTATTGAAGGAAGGTAAACCCTGGCCAGTGATTTTTGGTTTACAATGTCTGTTTTTATTCAATAACTCAGTCTCCCAGAGGTGCTAGTTTAGCTCAGGACTCTGCTGCTTGACGTCTAAGTAACTGACCATCTTCCTAGGGTGTTGGGTTTTTTTTAATATTGAAAAAAAATGTAAATAAATTTAGCAGCATCTCAACAATTTTACCTACATTCACCAGAAGCAAGTGTGCAGTGGTTTGGCTTTTTCTTGTTCTGGTTTTGTCACGGCCTTTTCTAAAACCCACTGTTTTACTCAGCCACTGCTTTCCCCGGCACAGCTTTCCCGCAGTGCCTTTGCCACCAGGGATGCTCGGCCATAGGCAGGTTTGCTCTGGGACACCAAAGGCCTGGGACAGTCAGTGGCCAAAAATATCTCATCGCCTTGGAATCAGCCAGGGCTTCACCCGCCACAGGGTGGAAGGCAGAGCAGTGACTGCTGTGCAGCCCCAGGCTGCGGGGATGGGGGGACAGCACTGGTCCGTGAGCCGGACACCAAACACCACGAGTGCAGCTATTCCTGCTAGGACTAAGTACAAAGTAACTTGTCTGTCTGCCCGTCTGCTTCTCACAGCCAAGCTAACAGCGTCGCTCGTTTCTCTTAGGACAAGACGAGCGCTCTGAGCCTGAGCAATGTTGCTGGGGTGTTCTATATCCTTGTGGGAGGCCTGGGGCTGGCCATGATGGTGGCACTGATCGAGTTCTGCTACAAGTCTCGGGCCGAGTCCAAGCGAATGAAACTCACCAAGAACACGCAGAACTTCAAACCTGCTCCCGCCACCAACACCCAGAATTACGCTACCTACAGAGAAGGCTACAACGTGTACGGCACAGAAAGTGTGAAAATCTAGGGGTACGGCTGCGGGCGGGAGCTGAACCCGCTGGGGTTTCCTCTTTCTCTCTTTTTTTTAACTGTCTGTGCTATTGTGTTGTGTGCATCAGCGGGCTGCTGCAAGAGGGCTTTTGAAACATCATCTTGTGGCAGTCTCGAAGTGTCAGTGGTTTAAATTTCTGTCCTGATAAGAAGTAAGCTTGGTACCATCCTGTATTGCACACAGTGGTAGCTGGCTTCATGCTGTAGTGAGTAACTCCTCTCTCCAGCATCGTGCTGGTTCAAAATGGAAGTATTTTGTTAAATGCTTTAAAAATCACATCTCTCTTGCTGGTGATCTCTTCCCCTTTCTTTTTTAAACTATGATCAGGTAAGTGCTCTTAGGAAGTCTCAAAAAAAATCTACAATAGAACAAAAACTTCTACACTAGAATTTGTGATTTCTAAAGCAGGAAAAAAAAAATAGAGCTGAATTGCTGAAAAATTACTCTGGAAAAGCCTGGTTAGCCCACAGCCTGTGCCTCTCCCCCGGCTGAGCTCTCCTGCCCCTCGCTGCCAGGCAGTGATGAAATCTTTCTGGTTTTATTATAGATCCTCACCCTGACAGCATGCAAGAGGAAAAGCAGTAGAGAATGTGGCTACTTCATGGATTTGGACCACCTGAGCCAGTCGTACTCTCTCCGAGGTGTCAGGCATGACACGCGTTGATGATGGTGCAATGTACTTTTAATAGGAAAAACTGATTTTTTTTTTCCTTCAGTGCCTTATGGAAGACTCTGAGACTCACAACAATGCAAACCATCACTGAAATATTCTTGCTTTGCTTGAAAGAAGTAAAAGAAAATAAGAGAGGAAAATGAAAGAAAAAGAAAAAGAAAATTAAAAAAAAAAGAGAAAAAGAAAATAAAACCAAAAAAAAAAGAAAAATGAGAAAAAGAGAAAAGGAAAAAGAAAAGGAAAGGACTGGTAACAAGATATTGGTATGTGAAAAAAAAAATTCTTGTAAAAAAAAATCAGTGCAACGAAAGCCATTCTTTGATACCACTGCACAGTAACTGAACTTGTGTCCTGAAAGCAAATCGCAGCCGGTTTCCTCAGCCACCCCAATCGTATCAAATTATGAAACTCCTCCTGACACAAAGCCTCAGAAATCTGCTGCGTGCGAACGTGGACCGGCCTGCCACTGCTTGTAGGAGCTGATGTCAAGATGTTTCAGTATTTACTTACAGTGGTGTGATTTTATTTTTTTTTCTGAGCCACTTTGGTCTCTCCAGCTAATTTGAGCAATTCTGTATAACAGTAAAAGGTGTAACACCTGAAGAAAAGAGTCTGTGCATTCAAACCAATTAAGGTCAATGACTGTGAATCCGTAAATCCAAAAGAAGGGAATTTGTGGAACTGCATGTCTTGCTTCCAGATCAGTAAATTAATTCCTTGACAAGGTAGCTAAAGTGCAGGCAGAAAATATTGCATTCCTTTTTTTGTTCTATCATCAGGCATACCTACAGGTGCTTTATTAAAATGACATTGGGTGGCTTTTAAAATAAAAAAATAAAGGAAAAGCTACTTGCTGTTTAGGTTCAGACCATATATCTCTTTTCTTGCTGTGCATTTGCATTTTAATTCACTGTTTAATATCAAGCAATGAAGCAAGAGAAGGGCAGGTTAGTTTTTCCCAGGCCTGCTTCTGCTTCACCCCAGTTCTCTCCCAACTAGCACTGTGCTCAGCTAATGCTTCTCAGTAATGGTCCTTGTAAAACAGAAGTAAGGGAAGAGGATAGTAACTCAAATTAGAGCTGCAGTTCCAGAGTAATAGTAAGCGATCTAACATGACTCCTGCTAGTACTGTTATATTATATCAGCTCCTGCCAACTCTTGTTTCATGGCTCCTGGTGAGAGGATGCTCCTGTCCCTGCCTCTCAGTGAGGAGGACACGGCGCTCCGCCAGCTCTGCTCCAGGCAGGGGCTCGCTAGCACTCACATCCAGCGTCTTAGACAGCAGCATTTCAGCCTGGAACCTCTGCCTGGAAACTACTTAACTTCATCTTTAAAAATAAAAATTTAAAAAAAAAAAAAAAACAAAGGGAAAAGACAAAAAAAAAAAGAGAAACCACAAACCTTTAAACATATTGTCAATCACATGGGAAATGTTCAATGGAATATCTGCATACTAATTACCTCTAATCGACAATATGTATTTTCTGTAGTTTACGATATAGAGTTTTATTTCATCAGTAACATACAATGAAAAAGAAACTCATTTAAACCAGTCTGACCCTTAGGAGTTTAGTTTGCTGATGATAGATTTGAACTTTTAATAGGATTTAAAAACAAAAACAAAAAGCAAAAAAAAAAAAAAAAAAAAAGAAAAAGAAAGTCTCGTAAAAAATAAGTATTTCCAACAAACTGTAATATAAAATCATTTTAAAAGCTCATAGGAGAATAATTTATTGTTCGAGTTTTTAACAAGATATTGACAAAAAAATTGTTGTTTTGTTTTCATTTTCTTTTCATGAAACTGTGATCTTTTTTTTTTCGACTTCTGAACGCGATCACGTCCCCAGCAAGGGCGAGCTAAAGCTGTGCGGTTATGAGTTGTATTTAAAACAAACATTTTTCTTAAAAGCTGTATAAAAGATGTATGTTTATCAGATCAATTTTTAAGAGTGGAGGCTTCACACCAGTGAAGGGAGTTTGGTAAATGGTTCGATATTTTTTAAACTTGCATGTAAAGCTAAAACAAAATGTGTTGAGTGCTTACCAATTCCGGCTACCAACTTCAAGCTATTGGAAGTTCGGCAGTAGTCTCACAATGATTTGTTTTGGTATATTTTTTTAATTTGTTTTGCTTTGGGGGATTTGGGGGTTCTTTCCTTTTATTTTTGGGTTTTTTTCCTCTTTTTTTTTTTTTTTGTAATTTAAGTTCCTATTTTTGGTCGTTGAAACTGCACTTCAGTGAGCAGAAAAATTGCCAAGCAAACTAATGGCTGTAAAAGCATAAACTGCATGTGTGGGCATCAATTACTGAGCCTCATTTTGATGAGGTGTTGTACAAAGAGTTTTAATACATTTTGTAAATAAAACTGTAAAGAAAAAAAATGAAAGAGCCTGCTTATCTTTTCATCAGAAGAGAAAGAGTCCCTCCCTACTGCTGTCCCTTTGACTAGTCTGGGATGCTCCACAGGTATTTACCACAGAACCCTCAAATGGTTTGGGTTGGAAGGAAACTTAAAGATCATCCAGTTCCAACCACCCCACCCTAAACTCACTGCACCAGGTTGCTCAAAGCGTCATTCAGCCCGGCCTCAGGCCTCAGGGGTGTCACCAGTGCTTCTCCCACCACACTGCTGGGAAATGCATATTTCTGGTTTGGTACCCTGCAAACCAACTAATGATGGTTTGATGAGTGAAGCTGATTGATCCTGGCCAGGTCCAAGGGGCACCCTCTGGGGAGCAGGGAAGGGGCAGGGGAGAACTCTCAGGACTCCAGCCAGGGCAGGAGATGCTCTGCCCCTGCAGTGGGCAGCAGTGTGGGTAAAAACATTCCTCAAATGGTGACTATACAGATGTATTTTCCTGCAATTCCCACCTTTTCAGCAATGCTTTTTTAAGAAAAAACCTTCACCAACATTGCAACTAATCCCAACTCAATAAATTAGAGTTTACTTCATCCACAGCATGTTTTTTTCCGAGTCACCACAAACTATGAACTGTAGGAAGTAATCCTGATATTAAACAGGATTAACAAATGGAAAAACATACATGGCAATCACTGATATCTTTTGCAGCTCAGCATCCAGCACCCAGCAGGTGGTCTCAACCATGGGGCTGCTTCAGCCTGGCCCCAATCCCTGTAGAACTGCTGCCAGCCACTGGTGCTTGTTTTATATGAGCACATCAGTGGGACACAGGCTGAGCCCACCACCATGTCTTCGGCCAAGGCTTCAGCAACAGCAAAATAAGCTCAGGAATAAGCAAGGGCTAAGTGAGAAAAATAAACAGCAATTATTTGACCCTAAACATCTTACAGAGACAAAGGCTTTGGGTTGTGGGTGTGAGCAGGCTGTTGTGCTGGGCACACCAGGCTCTGTGCGGGGCCATCCTTCTCCTGGGAGCAGGGACACGGGCCTTTCTTGCCTTGGCCCTGGGATAGCCCGTGCTGAAATGAGCCTATTTATATGTAAAGTGCCCACACAATGAATGCAGGGAGGCATGGAAAAAAATATTGTTCTGTCCTTTAACCTTCATTTCATGCTCAACGTCCAGGCAAACGCGGACAGGCTGCATTTTCTAGAGAGCCGTCTTGACCTGCTCCCTGCTGCCTGACAGCCAAACACAGCCCTGCACCAGCCACGGGGGCGAGCAATGCTCCCTTCCCCGGGGACCTGCCAAAATGGGCCACTGCAAGCAGGGCTTAATGTGCCCACTGAGCCCCAGCAATGAAATGGGAGGGCGTGAGAGGAACAGCAATGCCAGACTGATGCCAATCCTGGCCCTGCGTGAGCAGCTGGCGTGGTGCTGCCCCACCGGGGCCTCAGCAAGCACCAGGTCCTGCAAAATTAGCGTTGAGGTTTTCTAATACATTTGAGTCGGGCAAAACAAAGCAATTAGGGTGAAGAGACACAGCTGCACCAGTGAGCTGAGAGATCCTGGCCAGCTGGGACAGGGTGGGAGGTGGCTCCACATGGGACTGCAACCACAGGGATGAGGGGCAGGAACAGGTCCTGGGCCAGGCTGCAGCTGTAGGGAATCCAGAGTATCCTTGGGCTACAAGGACAGTGCACTTCAGGCCAAAACCTGGACTTCACTGCGTAGGCTGCAGCAATGGCAGCAGGGCTGCACCACAGCCCTGGAATGCTGGGCTCTAACACACCCCAACGTGACCTTGTCTCTAGGCTTCGGCGGGGGGGAATAATATAAGGAAAAATTCAGAGTAATGTATCCAGTTTCCAGAGTCATCAGTGGGAGCAAAAGGATGTCAACAGTGTTAAAGTTCAGGCCTAAAAACCCAAAGCAATAGCAGCTCCTCCCCACAGTACAGAGCACACCTGACAACAAAATAAAATCCATACTGTATCATTATGGCATAGTTTTTCCTTCAAAGGTTTTGTGCAAAGGACTGCAACATTTATTTTTTTAAAAATAATTATTCTTTATGGCTATTTAAATAATAATACATCATGGATATCAAAATTAAATTACAAAATGTCTTTGGTTCTCATATTCATCATTTCAATCTGGAAAATTGGCTCTGTTTTGCAGGCAGCAATACATAAACAAGATCTGGATAATGATAGCTCTATTCAATTAACCTGAAGGATTTAAGTACAGAGATAATATTTGCATGGATATTATAAATTTCAAAGTAATATTAGCTCAGAATATAATACATCTAAAATTGGTATCAGGGAGGACAGTGCCCCCAGGAGCAGCAGTGCCTGCAGCCCAGCGCTGTGCTGAGCCACGCTCGGTGCCCCCGTGGCACTGGGGCTGCAGGAAGAGCCCAGGCTGGCATTTCACCATGGGCTAATTCCAACAGGGTCAGGGCAGCCACTGCTGCATCGTGCCCAGCCCAGGAGCCTCAGGCTGAAGCCCCACCACCACGATGGGACACCTCTCTTGTGTGTGCCCTGTGGGGAGACAAATTTGGCTAAAATTCACCCCTGCTCCCACAACATCCCAATCCTGCTCTGACTCTGGGCTTCCTTGTCTTCGTTTCATCAGTCTGAGAAGGACTGATGAGACTGGTTTGTAATATGGCAGCAGCACTACAATAGCATCAACAAAAGTGCTTTCCAGCTTCCCCCAGGCACAGGCATTGGCAGCAGCTGCCCCACAAGGCAGGGAGCAGCCAGAAACCACACGGTATCCAG